GATTACACTTTCTGAGTTAAGTACTTTTGTTGGGTTGAGTCCCATCCAGGGTTCGAACCTACACCCTCAGAGTCATTCATCTAATCGCCAGCACACAGAGTCAGCTGCCTAAAGTACAAGAATCTGTACTTTACTAAGAAAGTGTAATCCCAAATATAATATATGTTACATTTAACCACTTGCTAAATGGCATTGTGTAATCATTCAGAAAAATGATATAAAAATATTTTAGTATTTTAGATTACGTTGAATGACAGCTAGTTCTTGAATAGGAAAACAGAATAGATAAAATGGAAAAAATTGAACTCTTCAGGTGTAATCAATTTAATTCAGTATATTAGCCTGCCTTGTCCCTTGCCAGTGCTAAAACCATATTAAAAAAATAACAACCTTTACTTTGAACATTTATGTCCGTAAGTGAAAAATGTAATATTAACATTACTGCACATGAAATGTAATTTTCTCTGCAAAATGTCTTTTTTTACCCCACTAAACTAAAAAAATAACTCAATTCAAATTTAAAAAAGAATTCCACTGAGCAATGTTTTTGGAGTGCAGAACATCCATAAACTCTGAAATAAAAAAGTGGCTTTGACTATATTACCTTATTAGACTTGGGCTGCAGAATCGTGTCTATGCGGCTGACTACAATAATGAAATAAAACAATTTTTTCCTCCAATAATGCGTGTGTTGTAAAAAATGTTGCTTCATGGATATTGTACTTAAAGAATCTAAATTACCTAGGGCCCTTGCGTCGCCCCTGAAAAAACATATGTTGTTTGCCTCTTTCAGTTCAATATGACACAAAGGCCACTCTCATACTTCACGTCTTTGCTGTAATAACTAAATCTAACTATCTGACAACTATTTAAAAAAACCTGGCATAATACAAAACAGTGCATTTCTATGTCACAATTAATAAAAGTTCTAATGAAATAAGTGATCAGTAAAAAGATACTAAATATTCATGACATTAAATCAACATTTACGGATATTTCTAGGTTATGCACAATATTGATTATGAAGACAGTTAAAAAATCATATTTGCATATATTAATGGATCACGCACAGACATGCTGTGTAGTTTACCCATAATCTGACACTTAATCACTCACTCACCCACCCTTCACTCACTCACTCACTCACTCATTCATAGGATGAACAATATCTCTTCTTTCACATGTGGCGAAAACACATCAAGTATATATGATCACAAATACAGACAACTCTGAGAAAACAAAGTTGGATATAACAAATTGTTGGTGAATCCAAGCATGTTATTAATGTTATTTTTAATGTTCAAGTTTTTATATCAGATATAACAAACAGATCTGGGTCCCTCATTGTTTGAAAGAAATTACTTTCAATATCAGTTGTGTTGATCTCAAATCATTAAAATCGAGTCATAATTTTAAGGCCACATTAATTAGATCTTAATTTAAAAAATTAAAATTCATGTTTTAATTAAACTTTTCATGTCATTAGTGGGCATAACTTTCAGTGGATGTTTGATAGGGGAAGCATGAGTGTTTGTATAAATATGTGATGTTTTGTTTCATGTAATCAAAGAAGAAACACATTGGTTCTCTTTGTTAAAAGATACTCTGTGACAATATGATGAGGTGAGAGGGGAGTTTGTTAGAGAAGCAGGCTCGGATGAAAATCTAATAATTTATTACGGCCAGATCTGGCTGATTAGTGACTCAGATGCTGTTTCAGTCCTCTCACTATTGACCTCTAGATTCCCTCATCCAAGCTGGAAGTATAGTGTGTTTTCTGCCAAAACTTTGGAGTTAAAATTCTAAATTTTCCTTTAAATGTTTTTTAATCATCTACAGCAAAATTAATGTTAATTGTTTGACCATTCACGCTTTCCTCGTGTTTTGTTGAGAATCAGGAAATGATGGCGCTGGATGACCACAGAGCATCAAACACCACTCACTCACTCACTCATGGAGAGCATGAATAGGTTATGTGAACTTTAGATGGCCAGGCACTTAGGCACATAGTTTCTCACAGAAGTGATGCATGATCCCACCATGAGAGTTGGCACTGCTCTATAAGTGACCATTACCAAGGTGCAAAATGAATCAAATACAATACCATTCATCAAACTGATCTTGTTGCGATCTGAATTAATGAAAACATGTTTGATTAACGAATGTGTCAAACATTGACAGATACATTTTCATTTGGCTTAACGATGACATCAAACTGGTGTAGATAGTATATCATAAGTGTTAGTGTGTATTTCAAGCAATGCTTGGACAACTTGGACCCTTTTTGTTGAACAGTTCAGGCAGAAATATATACTTGTTTTTCTGGTGTATAACCCATTATTTCACTCACTTATCAAAACTTTAAAATGGTTTAATGTACCTCAGTGCATGAAATATGAAAAAAAAACCAGCCAGACATCAGGGCTGGTAACTTCAAAATGTAACCAGCCCAAAATGGATTTAACCAGACCAGACACCAAGATATGGATGGTGATATGGTGTATGGAACAGCTAAATTTTTTACCAGACCATCGGGCTGGCTAGCTGTATATCTAGACCGTCCATCAGAAATCTAGCCCGTCTCGGAAGGTCGGATGGACCTTATTTCATACACTGATGTACCTGTCAACTATCAGCTTTACCTGAAACACAAGTATATTTTTGGGCCTGTCACTGGCTGTGAAGATGTGTTTTATTATTTGAGACGCTATTACTCAGTGAGCAGTGCTCTGGTTATACAAGCGTTGTGTTTTACAAAGGTTGACAAAAATAGTGTTTTTTGCAGTTTTTTCAATCTGTGCATCATGATTCATGGATTGCATTCACAGCAAGGGGAGTTAACTCAACCCTTTTCAACAGAATAGCTATGTGTATCTATTACACATCAACTTTCATCTGAATGGGATATGTTTTGATTGAACAAAACACTGAAAATATCAAACATTTTTCATCTAAATAATTATTCCTCAAAGATCCAGAATTAGTGATTAGATAATTATCTGCGTGAACCCGTTTCCAACTCTCTCAATCACTATTTCAGCTATGGATATAGGAAATGAATAATAAACTGACTAACCTATCTATAAATATAACAGGCAAACTAAATGTTGTGAGTAGACAGGTTGCTGATTTTGAAAAATGTCTAAACAATATGATGTGGTCATCATTACCCACTTATTCTGGATGATGAATAACCGTAACGTAACTACAGTCACTAGTGCCAAATCTTTTATGTGGCAAACTTATGGTTGCCTGGAAGTAGAAGCTTGGTCACATTGTATGCTTTTCTCTTTTCATCATTTTTCAGTTGTATCATACCTCGGAATAGGCCAAAGTATTTATGTAGGTGCCTTTACCTTTGACATGACTGTGTATTAGTTGTGAAACGGTATACCGTGGTATTAGTAGAACCGCTGTATTTTGTCTTCGGTTTGGTATAAGGTAATGCAATCCAAAAATTCGGTGTTTTCGTACCATAATTTCTATGTAGTCATAAAATGACAGTTTGGTTCATTCAAAATAACAAAGATTATGGTTATTTTTCCCCATGTTATTAATCAATGTAAGGTTTGGCTCTTGTCATCAATTTTCCACATAATGATCATATCTCAGGCCAGACCAATTTTATTTCTTGTTTTATGGATCCGCTGGTCGAATTTTTTCAAGAATAAGAACAAAAATTAATTTTCCCCGCTCAAAAAATAAAATCCACATGTTTTTATTTGCCAAAAATGTAAACATACAAAAAAAGTATTTTTTGATTGCTTTTTGCCCCATATACACTTCATAAATTGCCAAAAATAAAATACTTTTAGCATTTAAAAGGAATATTACTTTGACTGGTGATTTTTATTTTTTATTTTTTTCCCTCCTGCCTTTAGGTTTTCTGAGGACAAACATCCGTAAAACAAGAAATATAATTGGTCTGGCCTCATGTACCAAACTGAAATGGACTGAACCGAAGGCCTTGTACCACAATATGTACCGTACTGTGGTAAGAGCGTACCGTTTCACCCCTACTGTGTATCACTTATTTTACCAAATATGTGAAGAGTGTCTTATGTTTCAACTGATTTTTGATAATTAGTTGGTGATTAAAACCATTTTTTCAGCCACATAATTTGAACCACAGATGGTATTCAAAACTAAACTATGATGACTCTGTAATAGATACAAAAGAAAAGAACACTCTCACTTCTGGGGCTGCTTGTCACTATGACAACCAGCCAAGACAAATGAACTAAAATTTCAAGAAAAAAAATTGGTATTCGTTAACTTCTTTTATACATATATATGAATTTAACTCAGTGTAAAACTAGGTTTTTTGTTTGTTACTATTCTATAAAAAGTGAAAACTGTATCATTCTTTCTGCACACAAGTTTAAAACTACACGTCACTGATCCATTGAAAATATCACAATTTTAAACAGACCATGGCACACAGTCACTATCCTCTGTGGTATACAATGAGTTATCTCCCTTCCTTACAAGCAGTTTCCTGAAAAAGAAGTACTGTTACCCACATCAGTTTGGATACAATCAATAATTTGATCAAACTAAACGTTTTATTGGAACACACTATTTTTTAATAGGATTTGATGATGATGTACACATGGGTTCTGAACCAGTGTGTAAAAGGTGATTCACTCAGGCAAGTTATAAAGTCCTAATATTTCTGTCATTTCACTATTGACTGAAAAAAACTGTCTATTTATGGACACAACATTTCAAGCAGCCCTCATGGGAGACAATTAACTTTGTGTACAAATAACCAGCTTGATGTAATGTAAAGTAAGCATTAGTGAGAACAATGTCAGTATGCTATCTTTAATCATTGATAATCAATTAATAATCTCCTGTGGCTTGTTATAGGAAGTCTTATATACTTTGAGGGTTTGATAATAAAACATAATGCAAAATATTCATATCTGTCAAAACCATCCTGGCAGAAATGCAGGTTTTTGAAGTACCTAGGTATTCCTAATTGTCCCAATATGTGCTTGGTTTGGATATCGAGCTTAAATTGTTTTTATGTGTTTGGTAATATTCTTGTATTAAGTAATGCAAAGTGACATTTCTCCAAATTAAGCTTCCACTTGCGATAAAATGAAGACACATGTTGGAGACAAAAATTTGCTGACATCACAGCAATTGAATTTAAACTATTCCGTGAGGGATTGCCTTCATATGTATTTACTTTGAAGAGAGTTTGATAACTCTTCTTTTGGTCTTGTCAAGATGTATCAAAGCTTTGAAATGGATGCATATGCTGACATATTCTTTGTTTCTACATAATATCTTTGAATATGAAACAATTTATAGCATCATTTAAAATACATTTCCTCATAATGAAGGGAGATAACCCATCTATTGAAAAATTGCTGCCTTCTTGAATAACAGTGTATTGCATGACGGGAGTTTCTCTCCGTTTGATTCTTGGTTTTCGGAGGGAGGTGATGAGAACAGCCTGATTCTGCGGCGCTAATGGATGATGTTAATCACTGTTAAAACTAAAAGTGTAGCAGTGAAATGAAGCGTTCTGAAACACACAACACTTGTCTGTCCGCTACTTTTATCTTCATCTTCTGTGGAGGTCCCTGCAACAGAAATTGACCACAAATTGCCATGTATCTGCAAGAAGAGAGACGTACACAGAACTTAGGCCAAACAAAAAGATGTTGTGGTTCCGATTAAACCTCTTTAAAGTTTAGGGTAGGTAGGAATTCTTTCTTTTTTTTACATTTTTTTGAAGTAAAGTATGAACTAACAACACATTTATAAATGTGCAATTGTTTATTCAATCAAGCTTGTGGCCATCATGTCGGTTCAACTTTCTCTATCAGAATGACCAATGTCTGTTGGTGCCAGGAAAAAAGAATGGTATCTGAAAGCTTATTTTATTCATACCTCTAAAAAAAAAGAGGGTCGGCACCAGAATTCAAGGGTTGGTCGGGTAATCGGAATCACAACTTTTTTTTATTTAGGCCTTAACTGCAAGATTTCATATTTGATGAGCACATATTCCTGGGCATATCTGAATTGATTAAAATTATACTTCAAACAGTGAAGTAGGTAAAGCCAGATCAATTACATTTTTCGTTTGTTCATAAATTTTTAAACATTTTTAAAATAACAGCTTTTTTATTTTTTTTGAAGGGCTTCAAAGTTTTTCTATCAACAAGTAATTAAGCATGAGTCATTTGGATTTTTTTTTTATTTAAAGGCTGTTTTCTAACTATTTGATTTGTGTTCTTGTTCAGGGATACTTTGGTAGTTAGTTGTCTGGAAGAACAATAAGACATGAAATATTTAAGGATAACAACTTCTTTATAGGTTTAAACAGTGTTTCAGTCCTGTTATTTTGCCCTTCATGAAGAGCAAGAAGTAGCTTTGAAATGGTAAAAGCAAAAAGTTATTAATAAAAATTTCATGTCTTTGTGTTTTTGTAAATATCCTTTTTGAGAATTTAAAAAAAAATGAACCTCAAATCAACCATGATGGCATCATTATTGTTTCTATTTTGAAAACAAGAATTGGTCTGGCTTCATTTTTCCTTGCGAAATTTTAACTTTAGATTTCAGTGATTTCAAATGCGTTATATTGATATTGAAATCATGGATATGTCAGTTCATATATAAAATCATTTTGAAATGGACGGAACTTACCACGTTTTACATTCAATGATCCAGCTGCGTGATAAAAAAGAAAAACAAACATTGTTATTTACAGTAAAGACATGAAGACAATGTAATTGTTATATTTATTTTATGTGTCTAATCAGAATTCTATTAACACTTATGAAAATGTATTTTCATTTCTTATACAATCATAATTCTGATGAATGGTGCAAAGAATGTGAAGATGGTTTGAGCATAAAAACAATGTAAGTTAAGTGGAGTTATTTCCCTTTGACTATTCTGACTAATTTTGTGGCATGCAAGAAGCACAAGAAGACTTTCATGGATATAAAATAATAACATTTGGGCTCAGTTAAAGACTTCACAGATGTGCTTCAGATACCTTGTCAGATGAGATGGCTCTGGTGAGATACCACATGTGTTGCACCAAGGTTTGTCTCCTATCATTACATTGCTTGACTTTGCTATAAGCAGTGGAGAGTTGTGGTTAAAGTTGTGGTTAAAGTGTTCGCTGCTCATCAAAACCAAGGTTTGATTCCCCACATGGGTAGAATGTGGGAAGCCTATTTCTGGTGTCCCCTGCCATGATATTGCTGGAATATTGCTATAATCAGGGTAAAACCCTTACTCCTTCCCTCACTTGCACTAGATGTATGTTCCAGTTCTACAGATGAAATGAGTTGAAAGTTTCCATTTGTATTTTTTAGAACCATTTGTTATTGTGTCATGAGTTTTTGAGTGTCCCCATGTATTTTTGTGGCCTGAAATTTTTAAACTTAAGGGGGTAAAAAACGGCAAAGTGCCAAGGTCCTATGTTCATGGATTTAAGTGTTCATTTCAAACTTTATTATGATCTTGAGCTTGTGCTACACAGTAGAAATCTTCTTCTAAGATATGCCTCACTTTGAAATTTACCCATTAAGTTGACATGCAGTGGCATACATGAACCCTTAAACCTTCTCATTCACTGTGGGGTGGTGGGGTAGCCTAGTGGTAAAAGCGTTCACTCGTCACGCCGAAGGCCCGGGTTCGATTCCCAAATGGGTACAATTTGTGAAGCCCATTTCTGGTGTCCCCCACCGTGATATTGCTGGAATATTGCTTAAAACGACGTAAAACCATACTCTGTCAGTCAATCAGTCACTCAGTCAGTCTCATTCACTGCCATTAAAGTGGGAATTTGTAATTATTTCATTAGTGTCACAAAGTTTATTGTGTTTTCACGAGTTCAAAGGTTTCCATGTGATATTTATATAGTTACCTGTCACTTTCCCCATGAACATCATAGCCTAAAATGTATTACACTGAGGTTACACTGAGGTTACAATGTGGTAACAAGGTGTTTGTTTAGAAGATATGAAGTCCTACCATTGAGAGGTGTCCCATGAGAAAGCATTAAAATCAGGGCATATTTGTGAGTAATGTTATTTTACAAAGTCAGGACATTTCAATATTTCACAACTTTGTGATACTTAGCATGGATTGTTGATCTTAATATCAATCCCTGGATTGTCTGGTGCCGACTTATCAAACAAACAGCAAAGCACCCCAAGAGCTGGGTCATTTTATGTATCAGTCGGGCTACATACATACGTATGTAATATAGATATCATGGTCAAACATGGTATATATCTCCGATAAGATCATTCAATAATTGTTGTACGTTTGCTACTTGTTATCCCGTTTTCATCAGGGTCAGAATGGATTCCCAGTTTCCATGCTTCTTCTCAGAGCTGTCTAAATTGGGTATTGGGTGGTCACAATGTGTGAGCTGGGCATGGTTTGTCTTGGTATACCCTGACAGTGCTGTTTGTAGTTACTAATGTAGTCAACCACAGATTTGCATGGAGTACACCGGGTACCATTATAGACTACCAGGGGTGGAAATAACCCATTGCCCGACGTCCGAGTCCAGTGTTTTTTTTCTGTTGGGCAAACAAATTTGTATATCAAACTGTACCGGTGTGCAGTTGACTTTCCAACGATAATTATGTTGTTTATTTAAAAAATCAACACGAAAACGGCCGGTATAGTGGAAAAATTATCAGGGCAAGTGATTTTACATGTGCCACTGTACCGGAGTACACTAGCAAGTTTAAAGTTATTTCCACTCTTGACTACCATTGTCAGAATATTACTGAGTTGTGTAAAATGTCATAGACTCACTCATACCTCAGTGTAGAAAAATTTGATCAAACACACTGAGAGTGATAAGGTCAAAACATGATCAAACATACATTCATTGTACTATCCCTAAAGTCAAACAAACCTGATCAAACACACTCACAGTGATAAGGTCAAAACAAGATCAAACATACATTCATTTTACTATGCCTAAAGTCAAACAAAACCTGATCAAACACACAGTGATAAGGTCAAAACATGATCAAACATTCATTTTACTATGCCTAAAGTCAAACAAAACCTGATCAAACACACTGTGATAAGGTCAAAACATGATCAAACATTCATTTTACTATCTATAAGGTCTAACAAAACATGATCAAACATACTCTCACACTCTTCATCATAGTTTCAAACAAAACATGATCAAACATACTCTCACACTCTCCTTCATAGTCTCAAACAAAACGTGCTTCTTCCCACTCTTATTTATAATGTCAAACAAAACGTGATCAAACATACATTGACATTCTCATACTCATGGGGTGAAACAGAACATGCTCAAACACGCACTCATAAAAAATTTCTGTCAGACAGTTCAACTATGTATACAGTTTAATAGGTGAAGGGGTAGTGGGGGAGCCTAGTGGTTAAAGCGTTCGCTCGTCACGCCAAAGACCCGGGTTTGATTCCCCACATGGGCACAATATGTGAAGCCCATTTCTGGTGTCCCCTGCCATGATATTGCTGGAATAATGCTAAAAGCGGCGTAAAACTAAACCCACCCACTCACTCACTTGATTGGTGTACTCAGAACAAATTGAGGAAGTGTATTTCGACAGTAAAATCTTAATTGAGTTGATATTTACAGATATTCATTTATTATTTCAGGTTTGATTTCATAAAGAGATTCTGCCTGAATAAACTTCCTGAACCATTTGGAAGAACCTCCAAGACATGTCTTTATCAAACACGTATGTCAAACACACAGGATAAGTGAAATGGGAGAGGGAAGATAATCACGATCTGTAAAGTTCTAGGACCGTTCATCTCATAAATTTTGACAGGTGAGTTTCTCATTTTCAAAATATTGATTACTTTTTGGTAGGAGTCTGGATATGGCATGAGCATTCTTGTTGCCAATATTAACCCTCCACACAGGAAGGGCACCATTAGAGCTCCCACATCTGGGCAGGGTTCTACGTTTCCTGTTTTATCAAATTGTCAGTTTTGTGAAGGAACCTTGGCTGATCAGACCAGTCGAGACCAGATTGAACATGCACCAGTATTTACACTCATGCCCATCACAGATAATACGATCTCGCAGTACTACACACTGATCAGTCCTTAGGTGTTCCCAATGCATTTTCTCCTTTGGTTCTGCGTTCAGACAGGGAACTGGACATAATTTTCATTACCTTGTTTGAGGCGATTTATAATCACGTTTTCCAGTAGGCAGGAGATTAACTACATGTATGGAATTTTGATATCTCAGGCAAAATATTTGTCGCCATCTCCAGACATGATACACTGCAACACTTCTTAACTGATTCAATGATCGCTCCCAAGTGACAGAAATATTTTAATTTGTGACAGCTTTTTCAAATGCGATGTCAGAAATGAAAAGAGATAGTTAATAATGCCCAACTAAAAGGTCCATTTACTTTATAAAACAAATCAAAATGTAGCTAAAAACCAAACAGGAATATCATTTAGCAACACTCACTCAACAAATAGTCTATGGAGGACGTTTTGGGCTGTCAAAAGATGAAGAGGACATTGGTCTCATTCTATGGAGATCTTAGCATTGGATATCTTCAACTCTATGTTGGGGATTAAAATAAGGGGTGTGGAGCCAAGAAATATCTTCATTGTAGGACTCATTACAGAAAGAGTATTTCATGCAATACCTTAGGGTAATTACAGGATCTAGTTGCCTGGTTATGTAGAGATTACAAAACGAGTGGGTGTTGAATATGGAAAATATTCCAATGATATATTTTTAACGTTTTATTTATTAGAACGTTTTCGCTCGTGAATAAATCAAAAAGTTTAAAAACATAAGAGTTGGAATATTTTCCATATTCAACATCCACGAGTTTAATGATCTATTTATTACACACAGGACGGGAAAACAGTGTGATCCATGTTGACAAATCAAGCCGACGATGCCAGATGTGAACAATACGAAAGGGAGATAACTCTGTCATGACTTTATAGATGAAAATAAAAAAACCTACTAGTCCCCAGGACACCGAAATTAAATTTTAATTATCCACAAACCTAATGTTTGGTTGACATTTTCGGAAAAAAAAATCTTGAATGGAGTTATAATGTTGATATAAAATATCGAGGTGGCAACAGAAAGTTTCGGCATTATCGTTACCTAGTTTGGTACACAGCACTCGTTGGATAACTTTCAACTGGTTACACAACACCTGTTCAAATAACCAAAATTATCTCATGAAGATATTCAGAACAAGTGTGTAATAAGATTAGATATAAAACACTTCTGGCAGCACTCACCATTAAGAACATGGACTTTTATGCTTGTGATGTCCAGGTTACTGCTCCGACAAACGTAGGTGCCAGCATCGTTCATATTGCTGTGCTTCAACTGCAGCACGCTCACTATAGTCTTGGTAGGAAGTGACTGGAATTTTTCTATTGTAATCTTCTGATGAGCATCAGGCGTTATTTTGATGCCATCTTTAAACCAGTCTAAATCCTGGGGAGGGTTCACAGACCCCGTTGCATTGCACACAATATGAATAGGGTCACCTTTTTCAACGAAAGTTGTTCCTGACACAAATATAGCTGAAATATAGAAGGAATGTCAATGAAAAACAGAAGGAGACATATCTTATTGTATGTTTTCTTTTCATGGGAGGGGTGATGGGGTAGCCTAGTGGTTAAGGCGTTTGCTCGTCGCTCAGGAGACCCGGGTTTGATTCCCCACATGGGCACATGTGAAGTGTGAAGCCCATTTCTGGTGTCCCCCCGCCGTGATATTGCAGGAATATTGCTATAAGCGGCGTAAAACCCAACTTACTCACTACTTTTCATAGGAATTGGACAGGGATATTCTCTTGGGAAGGAGAGGTCAAGGACCTGTATGTTTCTGGAGGATTTGGTGACACTGCAACTCAGTGGCTTTGATCAGTGTATAATGCTGACAATTTCATAAATCAAAGGTTGCCATGATATAATGCAGGGATTTGAGTAAAAGGCACTTTCATTTAACCAATTACTAGTTATTTTTTATTTCAGCAGTTCTGTGGTATTTTATACCAATATGAGTAACTGATGATGTGTGATCTAGCCCCCAGTCCCTGGCAGGGATTATTAGATATGTCTGAACTAGCCCCTATTACCTTGCAGGGGTTATTGGAGATGTCTGAACTAGCCCCCAGTCCCTGGCAGGGATTATTAGATATGTCTGAACTAGCCCCTATTACCTTGCAGGGGTTATTTGAGATGCCTGAACTAGCCATTAGTACATTGCATGGGTTATTAGTGATGTCTGATTTAGCTTCAAGTGACTGGAAGGGGCTTGTTGGAGATGTCTGAACTAGCCCCCAATACCTGGTAAGTGTTATTGGAGATGTCTGAACTAGACCCCAGTACCTGGGAGGGGTTATTGGACATGTCTGAACTAGACCCCAGTACCTGGGAAGTGTTATTGGAAATGTCTGAACTAGACCCCAATACCAGGGAAGTGTTATTGGACATGTCTGAACTAGACCCCAGTACCTGGGAAGTGTTATTGGAGATGTCTGAACTACACCCCAGTACCTGGGAAGTGTTATAGGAGATGTCTGAACTAGACCCCAGTACCTGGGAAGGGTTATTGGAGATGTCTGAACTAGACCCCAGTACCCGAGAGGGGTTATTGGACATGTCTGAACTAGACCCTAGTACCTGTGAGTGATTATTGGAGATGTCTGAACTAGACCCCAATACCAGTACCTGAACTAGACCCCAGTACCCGAGAGGGTTATTGGACATGTCTGAACTAGACCCTAGTACCTGTGATGTGTTATTGGAGATGTCTGAACTAGACCCCAATACCAGGGAAGTGTTATTGGAGATGTTTGAACTAGACCCCAGTACCTGAAGGGTTATTGGAGATGTCTAGACCCCAGTACCTGGGAAGTGTTATTGGAGATGTCTGAACTAGACCCCAGTACTGGGAAGTGTTATTGGAGATGTTTGAACTAGACCCCAGTACCTGGGAAGTGTTATTGTCTGAACTAGACCCCAGTACCTGGGAAGTGTTATTGGAGATGTCTGAACTAGACCCCAGTACCCGAGAGGGGTTATTGGACATGTCTGAACTAGACCCTAGTACCTGTGAGTGATTATTGGAGATGTCTGAACTAGACCCCAGTACCTGGGAAGTGTTATTGGAGATGTCTGAACTAGACCCCAGTACCTGGGAGTGTTATTGGACATGTCTATTGGAGATGTCTGAACTAGACCCCAGTACCTGGGAAGTGTTATTGGAGATGTCTGAACTAGACCCCAGTACCTGGGAAGTGTTATTGGAGATGTCTGAACTAGACCCCAGTACCTGGGAGGGGTTATTGGAGATGTCTGAACTAGACCCCAGTACCTGAGAGGGGTTATTGGACATGTCTGAACTAGACCCCCAGTACCTGTGAGTGATTATTGGAGATGTTATTGGAGATGTCTGAACTAGACCCCAGTACCTGGGAGGGTTATTGGAGTGATTATTGGAGATGTCTGAACTAGATCCCAGTACCTGGGAAGTGTCATTGGAGATGTTTGAACTAGACCCCAGTACCTGGAAAGTGTTATTGGAGATGTCTGAACTACACCCCAGTACCTGGGAAGTGTTATAGATGTCTGAACTAGACCCCAGTACCCGAGAGGGGTTATTGGACATGTCTGAACTAGACCCTAGTACCTGTGAGTGATTATTGGAGATGTCTGAACTAGATCCCAGTACCTGGGAAGTGTTATTGGAGATGTCTGAACTAGACCCCAGTACCTGGGAAGTGTTATTGGAGATGTCTGAACTAGACCCCAGTACCTGGGAAGTGTTATAGGAGATGTCTGAACTAGACCCCAGTACCTGGGAGGGGTTATTGGACATGTCTGAACTAGACCCCAGTACCTGGGAAGTGTTATTGGAGATGTCTGAACTAGATCCCCAGTACCTGGGAAGTGTTATAGGAGATGTCTGAACTAGACCCCAGTACCTGGGAGGGGTTATTGGAGATGTCTGAACTAGACTCCTAGTACCTGGGAAGTGTTATTGGAGATGTCTGAACTAGACCCCAGTACCTGGGAGGGTTATTGGAGATGTCTGAACTAGACCCCAGTACCTGGGAAGTGTTATTGGAGATGTCTGAACTAGACCCCAGTACCTGGGAGGGGTTATTGGAGATGTCTGAACTAGACCCCAGTACCTGGGAAGTGTTATTGGAGATGTCTGAACTAGACCCCAGTACCTGGGAGGGGTTATTGGAGATGTCTGAACTAGACTCCAGTACCTGGGAAGTGTTATTGGAGATGTCTGAACTAGACCCCAGTACCTGAGAGGGGTTATTGGACATGTCTGAACTAGACCCCAGTACCTGGGAGGTGTTATTGGAGATGTCTGAACTAGACCCCAGTACCTGGGAAGTGTTATTGGAGATGTCTGAACTAGACCCTAGTACCTGGGAAGTGTTATTGGAGATGTCTGAACTAGACTCCCAGTACCTGGGAAGTGTTATTGGAGATGTTTGAACTAGACTCCCAGTACCTGGGAAGTGTTATTGGAGGTGGTCAAACTAGCTGCCCTACCCCTCCCCCTATAGATAGCTGCACTGGAGATCAGATGGTTAAAATGGCTGCTGCATGTGGCCAGGACAACTCTCAGTTGTAACCTGCCTGGAGATTACCTGAGTGGTTCACTGATCACATTGTCAACCAAAGATGTGGCTACTCTTGTCTAAAGGTTACTTTTGAAAAAGTAAAACCAACTCATGAGAAAAATTAAACTTGGTTTGTAACCAGGGAAACTGATCCCTCCCAAATCTCACCTGGCACTGTAGACTGAGGCTTATCTGTAAAAGATAATAAGATTCATTAGCGAATCAATAAAGAACACATTTTCTGACATGATGAACTTGTGTTTTTTTCAGTCCATCAGTCAATAACAACAATGTATTTGTTCTCATCAAAATTACATTGCAAAAATGTTCTAACAGTATCAATCTCTCATGTTATTTTTTTGGTATTTTATGGTGCAGGAGATAAAACATTTTGATGTTAATATTAATCTTGTAAAACAATTCCAGAAAAACAGTATGAAAATATACAAACAAATGTTCAAATTAAGTCAATTTAACGTGTTTAACACAACATTATATGTTTTTAAACAGTTGAATTAAGGGCAAGATCATCATGCAAAACAAGATTAAAAAGAACTTTTCCTGTATAAAGTATTTTATAATGATCTGATACCTACACTTTCTTTCTTCTATATTCTTCATGTTAAAAGCAGTTTTTGAAGCCATGGCCTTATTTACATCTGATGGGAAAGTTAGAAAAGACACTTGACAGCGTGGTATCATAAAAGGTCCTGCCCATTGATCACAGAAAACATATTAAGCAAATTGGCACCATTAGAGACATTTGGGTGCAAAACTGATGAAAATCTGTTAATGGGGTTTGACCTTATTATCTCTTAATAGACGCTAAGTGGGTTCGGTCTGCACACTGCCCACTAGGAAATGTACCACAAGAGTGCAAATCTACCATTGGTGACGTCCTTGTTGGAAAAACAGAACCTTTGATTTCTCAGGGGCAGAGTTGTCAGATATACTTATAGGATTTTCAGTTCCCTTGTATCAGTAGGTTTGGAAAGTTACAAGTGCGGCAAGAGTTTGTAATTGTCTCTGAATGCTTCCAATTTTCTAACTACTAAAGCAGACAGTCTTAGTGTCAAGGATTTTCTCATAATGGGCAAATGATGTCTTTTCTATCGGATTAGAACAGTGATGTCTTGAAACATAAACTGTTGATTTCATGATTGAGGGAACGTCGTTTCTTATTTGAAACCCGTCTTGATCTGATTGGTTGTCTGTCTGCGTACATATTGGTAGATTAGAAGTATCAAATCATATCTTGTTCTTCATTTGAATTTAATAGTACTGGAGATCTATATTAATATTAATTTTATAAGTCATCTATGTAACAAGATATTTTGGTGTGTCTTCTTTTGAGAGCAGAATGATGCTTTTTAACATTCGACTTGGTGTTGTAAAAATGAGAAACAATGAGAGATTTGTAAGAAATAGAAGGAAGAAAGTATTCAACATTCATGCCGGATCCATAAAAGACATTAATTTTCAAAGGCAAAAAATATGTATTAGACTCAAGATGTTAAAACAGATTGTGCTTGATGTACATCGAGGAATGATGGTGATTGGTTTCTGTGGAATGGATGTTTTATTTCAGACTAACGGTACACATAAATTTCATTTGAAGACACATTTTTCTAGACATTAGTAATCCGTTAATTAGATTTTGGTACCATTTTATTTGATTGCTGTTTCACATAGGTTTTGTTTTACTCAAAATGTTATTCACTGGAATGACAGAAAAGTCTTCTTTGGTAACAAAATTGATTATGCATGATCTGTCCGTTAAGGGCTGTGAAGAGCAGGATTATTTTCAAAATAGAAAAACATTTTAAAGGACAGGAACATGTATATATGTTATCTGCATAGTCCTCACTCCTTGAAGGCTTAAAATGGTGGGGAGGTAGCCTAGTGGTTAAAGTGTTAATTAAACCTGGGTTCAGATCTCCATGTGTGATACCCATTTCTGATGCCCCTCCACCATGATATTTCTGGAATATATATGTTAAACATATGTCTGGAACTAGACACTGGCTATATTAATATTTTCATTGACATTCTCTATGATCAATAAGAACAAATGATTGTATAGATCTATTATGTAAACTTGAATCTTACAATAGTAAATGAAACTAGAATTATATGGCAATATCGATTTTCAATTGGAAACATATCTTGAATTATATATTTGTTACTACATGCTGCACAATGTTTACCAGGTACTATTTACCCAATGTGAATATAGATATGCGTTATTATATGTAAAGCTGATTACAGTGCAAAGTTTACAGAAGTCATGTAAGTCTTTAGTTGGTTATTTCCATACACAAAGCACACATCATGCTAACCACACAAAAGCAGTCAAAAAGACAATCAAAACATTGCCATGTTGCACTCACATTGAATAAAGGAATTCGACAGTACAACACGTTTGTGCAGGAGGTTGTAAAACATGGGAGCGCGTGGGAGGGATGCATACATTGGCACAGTCAGAATGACTACATCTGCCTATGTCCAATATTACTTACTTTTGATGGCTTGATTATTTAAGTAAGCATGTTGATTATAATACCATATTCTATGGGTTGACATGGTCTACAACTTTTTACCTCTTTTGTAATTTGTAAGAAAGAGTGAGCAAGGGCGAAAAAAGCTGTCAGATTAAGTTGCCACCCCAAGTTGCATCTCTATAAATTCTGCCACTGTGGCTCCATCCATGTAATCTGCCAAGGTGGCTCCATCCGTTTAGTCTGCCGAAGTGGCTCCATCCATGTAGTCTGCCAAGGTGACTTCATCCATGTAGTCTGCCAAGGTGGCTCCATCCATGTAGTCTGCCACTGTGGCTCCATCCATGTAGTCTGCCGAAGTGGCTTCATCCATGTAGTCTTCCAAAGTGGCTCCATCCATGTAGTCTGCCAAAGTGGCTCCATCCATGTAGTCTTCCAAAGTGGCTTCATCCATGTAGTCTGCCAAGGTGGCTCCATCCATGTAGTCTGCCAAAGTGGCTCCATCCATGTAGTCTTCCAAAGTGGCTTCATCCATGTAGTCTGCCAAGGTGACTCCATCCATGTAGTCTGCCAAGGTGGCTCCTCCCATGTGCTCGACCACTGTGGCTTCATCCATGTGCTTGACCACTGTGCCTCCATCCATGTAGTCAGCCAAGGTGACTCCATCCATATCGTCTGCTACTCTGACTCCATTCCATATAGCCTGCCAAGGTGACTCCACCCGTGTGGTTGACCATAGTGGTTCCATCCATGTAATCTGCCAAGGTGGCTCTATCCACATATTCTGTCAAGGTGGCTCTATCTATGTAGTCTTCCGAGGTTGCTCCATCCGTATAGTCTGCCACTGTGGCCACATCAATGCTCAACCACTGTCACTTAGTCTTCCAAGGTGGATCCATCCATGCAGTTTTCCAAGCTGGCTCCATCCATATATTCTGTCAAGGTGGCTATATCCATATAGTCTACCACTTATACTTACCCGTGAAGGTCCGGGTTAGAATATTGGTCTTCAGTAACCCATGCTTGTCGACTAACGGGATCGGGTGGTCAGACTTCGCTGACTTGGTTGACACGTCATCGGTTCCCAATTGCACAGATGGATGCTCATGTTGTTGATCACTGGATTGTCTGGTCCAGACTCGATTATTTACAGACCGCTGCTATATAGCTGTAATATTGCTGAGTGCAGCATAAAACTAAACTCACTCACTCACTCCCCACCCACCCTTATATTGGCTAAGGGGCTCCATCCATGTAATCTGCAACTGTTGTTTCATCCATGTAGTCTGCCAAGGTGCTTGTCACCTATATATTCTGCCATGGTGGCTCCTATACATGTTGTCTGCCAATATGTCCCCATCAGTGGAATCTGCCAAGATCACCCCATCCATAAAGACTGAAATATTGCCTGACAGTCACTGTTCACCCACCCAGACTTATTCCAGCTATTGAAAATTTCAATAAAACTATTCCCACTGTAAGGTAAGGAGTTTAGAGTAGGAAGGTCCTTTGAGATTACTGAGGATAAAACTAATCAATCAAATGATGCCAAAATATGTTTAACAAAAAAAAACCCACATACTCATAAATTCAATATTTCTTATTTGATAAGTTGCTCATGTTGTCTATTTATCTAACATGATTATGATTGTGTAAACAGTGATATGTTATTGGACATAGGCATACGCAGGGTCTAATATCAAGTGAGAACTTTCACAGTAAGTGTGCAGATAACAAGTGCTTCAACCATCAATATCATACCGAGATCATCCTCTGTAAACAAGGGTATTACAGTCATGCCTCTTACTAACCCCTTATATGACATTATCAACACAGTTCTCACTTTTGCAAAGAATGTAACCAATGAATTTTTTCAATTTATGAAATTTAAAGAATGCTTGTGTATAAAATGATAATCATTATTATTTATTTTAAAGAGAAACAGCAAAATGTTCAACTTAAAAAATTGATGTGTTTGAATGTCGGGAGTTATTCTGGCAGTTTTTCCCTGTGCACAGAGGATGATGCTGCTTTTGTGTGTTTAAACAGACATGATACATACTTCAAACATTTTCGTTACTTTACACATATTTTCCTAGGCTATTCATTATATTGAATTGTTATTTTTCAATTACTGTATTGAAATTATGTTACTGGATCAAAATTATATGTGAAATACACAAGTTATCAGTCAGCAGAGAAACGTAAGGAAAATAACTCTTAAATTACACATGAATGAACAGAAACATTAAAACAGTTTGAACAAAGGTACTGAAAATATACTACATCGTATGCATATATATATATATATCTTCAGCAAAGTGTACATTCTATTTGTACAACTGGAATTGTGACTATAGCTTCTGAATACATAAATAGTATTTGTGGCAAAAGTCTTGCAGTAAGTCATTGCTAATGGATGTGCTTAGTGTGTCACACAAAGCCCTTTTTGTGGGAAGGGCAAGTAAGAAAGGTTGCATAATATATTACAATGAAACATTTAGAACTTAGATGTTAATAACATTGATAGAGACCCTACTGAAATGTCTAATTTTTTTGTCTTGATAAAACAATGTTGAAATCCTGAAAAATGTCATGAGATTGTTCAAATATTTTTCTTCCTGAAAGACTTTTGCCATACATCTAGAGTATTGATAGACTAGTGTGATTATTGAACAGTGAAAAACTGACAGTCCATGCTGCAAGAGAGTGGTGGTATGTTTCAGCAGGCTGAGCATGGAAGTTAGAGGTCAAGGTCAAAAGGGACAACATGAACAGCAGCAGCAATCAGGGGAGATAACTGGGTAATAGAGAAAAAAGGGGAGATAACAACTATACCTCTACCATTCTTGAAGTACTCAGAGTTTACCCTCTGTGGATTGGTCGAAGCTAGCAAGCAAAATAAAATTCAAAATTATGTGCTAATGTTTATCACATTGTGTTCTTACTCATCTTATGGTGGCTACTATGTCAGGAGTCTGTTTAACCATGTTGTTCTTACGATTGTCGTTGACAATGCCCAAAGACTTACAAAAACCATTGCCCCGATATCCCAAAATGAAATTAAGCTAAGATATTTATCTCTAACATAAGAAGTTTCTGCTACAGACATCAATTATAAATAACATTTTTAATTCAGCATTAACACTTAATATTTTATTACCTACAAGTTTATCTTTGTGGGTATAGATGTGAATGTTTCAAAAGAGAAATAAATATTTATTTTTCTATCTAAGCTTAATGTTTTCCTGCTCAAGCATCGCTGTGTTACACCACAGTACTAAATCATCTATCTGACACTTAGACAGTATGAAGCTTACACTCAGTTGAAATGATGTTCTTCTTTGGTCCGTGGATCACTTCGATGTGGGACTCGTCATTTATCATGGGGATAAGTGGAATGACAAACACCAAGTCTGATCTCAACTCAATCTCTCTCTTAACACAACATTAAAGTATTTTTGGAAAAAGTGCTAGAGTTATTACTTCCATAGGGTTGGATGTCATTTCAAGTTGTGAGTGTGATGGGGTTTGGTTGGTTTGCTATGCCAGTAAATGTGATGGTTATTTTGCTTAGATGGTGTGTGGAATTGTGACTGGCATTTGGCTTGGGTCTTGTGGGAAGTTGGGATTGTCATTTGGTTGTGGTGGTGTGGTCTCATTTATGTTGGGTGGTTATTCTAGTTGTGAGTCTTTGGTCTTGAATAGTGTGTGGAGATGTGAGTCTTTGGGCTGGGATGGTTGGTGTGAGTCTTTGGTCTGGAATAGGTGTGAGTCTTTGGTCTTGAATAGTGTGTTGGGAGATGTGAGTCTTTGAGCTGGGATGGTGTGTGGAGATGTGAGTCTTTGGGCTGGAATAGTGTATGGAGATGTGAGTCTTTGGGCTGGGATGGTGTGTGGAGATGTGAGTCTTTGGGCTGGAATAGTGTGTGGAGATGTGAGTCTTTGGGCTGGGATGGTGTGTGGAGGTGTGAGTCTTTGGTCTTGAATAGTGTGTGGAGATGTGAGTCTTTGAGCTGGGATGGTGTGTGGAGATGTGAGTATTTGGGCTGGGATGGTGTATGGAGATGTGAGTCTTTGGGCTGGAATAGGGTATGGAGATGTGAGTCTTTGGGCTGGGATGGTGTGTGGAGATGTGAGCCTTTGGTCTTGAATAGTGTGTGGAGATGTGAGTCTTTGAGCTGGGATGGTGTGTGGAGATGTGAGTGGGCTGGGATGGTGTGTGGATGTGAGAGTCTTTGGGCTGGGATGTATGTGGAGATGTGTTTGTCTCTTGAGTGTGGAGGATTGGGGCTGGATGGTGATGAGTCTTGGGCTGGGATTGTGAGTGTGAGTCTTGCGAGTCTTTGGGCTGGCATGGTGTGTGGAGATGTGAGCTTTAGGGATGGGATGTATGTGGAGATGTGAGTCTTTGGGCTGGGATGTATGTGGAGATGTGAGTCTTTTGGCTGGGATGTATGTGGAGATGTGAGTCTTTGGGCTGGGATGTATGTGGAAATGTGAGTCTTTGGGCTGGGATGTATGTGGAGATGTGAGTCTTTGGGCTGGGATGTGTGTGGAGGTGTGAGTCTTTGGGCTGGGATGTATGTGGAGATGTGAGTCTTTGGGCTGGGATGTGTGTGGAGGTGTGAGTCTTTGGACTGGGATGGTGTGGTGTGAGTTGTAATCCTTCCGCATGTATTTGGGAGGCCAGGATGGTGGGATGGAGGTGTGTCTTTGGGCTATTTGGGCCAGTGATGGTGTGTGGAGGTGTGAGTATTTGGGCCGGGATGGTGTGTGGAGTTGTAAGTATTTGGGCCAGGATGGTGGATGGAGCTGTAAGTATTTGGGCCAGGATGGTGTGTGGAGCTGTAAGTATTTGGGCCAGGATGGTGTGTGAATTTTGATTGTAATTAGGCTGGAGAGTTGTGTGGACCTGGGAGTGGAATTGTGACTGACAAAAGTAAAACTGATATGGTGGGTGTACCATCAATATCATACAGTCCCCTGGGTTTGAAACAATGCATCACTAGCTGTTCTCAGATTGCCATTTACGTATCAGCTTGTATCCAGACTTTATCCCGTTTTATGAAAACTGATTACCAGAGCTCTTTCATCAGAAAGACACTTAAGATTAAGTCAAAGTAGGTAGCTGTTGATGAAGTGATTGTGGCAACACCCAAGTCATAGACCATCACAAGATTTTCTTAATAGAGGAATACCAGACACTATGGTGTCCTACATGTCGATATGGTAACAAAACCTTTGCTTCAAGTTGATGTATCATTCTGTACCCAGGGTACATTTTGATGGTAAACCGACCAAGATTGACTGAACTAAAGTGCCTATTATAGAGGTGTCTTTAAAGTCAGCAGTCAGGAGAACACCCTCTGATATATGACTTGTCCACACTTCAGAATAATCACTTCAACCTCCTTAAGCACAATATCCCATACATGAGTACATACCAAATATTACCTTCTATAAGCCAAATTTCGAGGACCCAAAAAATATGTCTGTAGATGTTACTGTAAACTAGCAGTCCATGGAAAACAAGGCGGTAATAAGCAAGCCAGTTTGTTGACATGTTATCGTCTAACTACAATATGTATGATATTTAGCCAAACAAAATATATTATCCATTTTCTGTCAACTACACTTCATTTCGATGCCTGAGTAGACGCAATATGATTGTGAATTCTTTGAATAACGTGGGCCAAAGTTATTATTATTGGTAACCGCCAGTTGTCTGTGGTCTGTCTTTGCCCCGATTAGGACCCCATCGCGGGGGTCGGCTTATGCACGAAACATACCATTTTGACACTGATTTTAAGGGTCAAGTTTGGGTGTCGGCTTATTTATGGGGTCGGCTTATAGATGGTAATATACGGTAGTTTATCAACCCTCTCTGACAATAAAGATTCAACCCCCTGTAAGGATAGTATCTCAAAACTTTCTGAGGAATATCAAGTATTTACGTGTCACAAACGTCTTTTGAGCATTTTATCACAAAAAAACTGGTAATCTTATCGAAGTTATTGAAGCATATCCTGTTAACCTCTACGAATATCTGATTAAAGGTATTCAGTGTTAAACATTGTAATCATATTTCATTGTCAACTCAAGATCCATAATACATGTATTTGTGACTATATGACGTCAATATATGCAGTCAGCGCTTGCCATTTCCTTGTAGGAAGATGTATTTGAAACAATGTATTTGAAACTATTTGGCACCAATATACACCATCGGCGCTCATCATTTACTTGTAGGAACATGTGTGTCATTATCATATTAGATGCATTTAAAACTATATGACTATCTGACATCCATATACACTGCCAGCGCTTGCCGTTTTTCTCGGGAAGATGTGCGTCACAGTCATATTAGATGTATTTGTGACTTTATGACATCAATGTAATCCGTTGGCGCTTACCATTGATGCAAGACATTATCATTTTATATACATTTGTGATTATGTGACATCTATATGTGCAGCCAGCGCTTGCCATTTTTTCTCAGGAAGATGTGCGACATTTTAATATTACATGAATTTGTGGCTATATTACATCCATATACACAGCCAGCGCTTACCATTTTCTCGTAAGAGGATGTGCAACATTAACATATTACATGACGTCCATATTCACCACCAGCACTTACCGTTTACTCGCAGGAGGATGTGCCAGATTATCTTCTTCCTGCTGCTCACCTGGCACTCATATACCCCAGAATCCTCTGGCACCACATTCTTTATGACCAGGTTCCACTCCCCTTTCTCTTTAAGTTGCTGGAGGGAATATCGTGGATTTCCAACATATACTTGTTCCCCTATCGTCACAGGGTTTGGATCTGATGCCCTTCTCCATATCACCTGAAATGATACAAGTTTCATGTAGTTTGTTTGTTTGGGGTAGAGGCACAGGTGGCACCTAAGGAGCTGAGTTTCGTTATTAGGCACAGTCAATATCTATGATTGTCAATTGACCCTGCTTATGTTTCAAGGTTTGTCGGAACCCATGAAGATCTTGGTTAGAATTGTCGTAAGAGGAGACTAACGGGATCGGGTGGTCAGCTCACTGACTTGGTTGACACATGTTATTGTATCCCAATTGTGTAGATCGTTGCTCATGCTGTTGATCACTAGATTGTCTGGTCCAGACTCGATTATTTACAGTCCTCCGCCATATAGCTGGAATGTTGATGAGTGTGGCGTTAAACAACAAACCAATCAAGGTTTGTTGGCACCATGCCTGTACATGTAGGTTTCACTGTTGTGATGTGCATATAAGACCTGTATCACGTGGACTTCTTCCCACATCAAATTTACAGGCTGTGACATATCTAAAATAGTGTCCAAAGTGAGTCAAACCTATATCACTTACTTGTTTAGTAATAGGCATTTGTGGCCTAAAGGAACAGTCCTCAGACAGATTAAAAATGGGCTTACAGAGTTGCCTCCCTTTGTGGTTCAAGGATCAGCTATATGTTACTCAAAAATGATTATGGCCCATGGATTCACTCAAGTGGTAATCATTTACATGATCAATAACCTGCAGCTCCCCTCGAACAGTTTGCTGAAAAACTGATTATACTGAAATAACTGAGTCCAGTGGCATGAAAATGACAGCTCACCTACCCACTCCTTACTGTTACTGGTATAGTATGATCCATAGGGGTTTCAAGACTTGATTCACATGCAATTATTACGAGACCACATGTCTGTGTTAAAGATGATATGCAATTACATTATCAATTCATGTTGTGTTATCAATTCATGTCATACATCTTCATGTATTTGATACATGTTGTTCTGTGCTATTTTCTTATTGGAGACATTATGCTGCAGAATTGAAGTAATTTTGCCCTTCTTTCGTGTGTACATCTTTCATATTGTCTCATCAGAAGCGTAGCATTATCAATCATAGGAAGGAAGAGTCATTGTTCTGGTGGCAACCCTGAGACATGGAGAAGACATTTTGCTTTCTGAAGTTTCATTGGCATTTGTCTTGCGGTCATGGATTCAGCATCAAAATAATCACCATATGTGGATAAATGAATTAGTTCATATGATTGGCATTTATAAGGCTTTTCATTTATAACATATAGTGAGTTGTTGGATTTAGGACTGTCACTTATCATTGGGAGGAAAGGTGGGAGGGGAGAGGTCTTATTCCTTAGCCAGGTGAAACAGGGGGATGTGTTATCATAGAAGGTATTGCATTGTTATATAACGTTAAAGGATAACTTGATGTGACATTGAATTGTAGTGTCGCAGTAAAGAATATCATTGTGATATTTCATTGTTTGACATTTTATTGCATCACAGTATAACGAACATAATGTGATATTTCATTATGTCACAGTATAGAATGACATTGTGTCACATTTCATTATGTCACAGTATAGAATAACATTCATTATGTCACAGGGGCGGTGGGGTAGCCTAGTGGTTAAAGCGTTTGCTCATCACACCGAAGACACAGGTTTGATTCCCCGCATGGGAACAATGTGTGAAGCCCATTTCTGGTGTCCCCTGCCATGGTATAGCTTGAATATTGCTAAAATTAAAAAGCAGTGTAAAACTAAACTCACTCACTCACTCAATCATGATGTCACAGTGTAGAGAATACCAATTTCATGACATTTTATAAGGTCATAATAGAGAATAAAAGCATGTAACATTTTATTATGTCAGAAGAGAATAGCATCATGTGACATGTGATTATGTCACAGTAGAGATACCATCGTGTGACATTTCATTATGTCACAGAAGAGAATAACATCATGTGACATTTCATTGTGTCACAGAAGAGAATAACATCATGTGACATTTCGTTATGTCACAGTAGAGGATAACATGTGACATTTCATCAGGGAGTTACATTGAGTCCTGTATTTGAGGGTCCCTGGGACTTATACTCTTAATTTTCAGGGGCCCTGGACAACAACATGGGGATCCCAGACACTTAAATATTATTATTAATACTGTTATTGTATTGAGTATCATGATCATCACATTGTTGCAGTAATTATATTGCAAATAATACCATAACCCAGCTAGTAGCAAACTCAGTGATAACTTATTGTCACTTGACTGGAATTTTTACAAAAAGTATGTTTTCTTCTGAGTCTCTGTGGATGCGCTAATATTTTTTGTAGCGTCCATTGTCAGTTTTTATGCGTAAAGGACACAGGAAATTGCGTCCTGTAAATCCCTGTTTCATTGTGTCACAGTAGACAATACCATCATGTGACATTTCATTATGTCACAGTAGATAATAACATCATGTGACATTTCATTGTGTCACAGAAGAGAATAACATGTGACATTTTGTTATGTCACAGTAGAGAATAACATGTGACATTTCATTGTGTCACAGTAGAGAATAACATCATGTGACCTGTGATTATGTCACCATGGAGAATAACCTTGTATGACAAAGTATTGTGACATGTCCTCACTGACACTCACACCAGCTCACATGCAGTATCAATACTTCACTTCCTTCTCACCCGGTGTTTAAAAAACAACCGGAACGAGGTACTCCTCGGTTTATGTTCTTCTGGAATAAAATGATCCAGTCAAGCTTGATATACATCCTGCCTCTCGATGAGATATTGATCAGGTCTAAATTTGACGCCTAGTATTTTCTTAATCGAGGTAACCTTAATTTGTTCCAGTCTTGAGACAAATGCTGAACACCATTATTCTGCAAGTAAATGTGTTGGTGTTTGTCCTGGCTGACTCTACCGATGCCTCACTTCCTTCACTGGTGTTGCAGACACAACACTGACCGTCTGCTTCTCAGCCCTCCTATGTTTTTGCAAAAACCTTTGTTAGGCAAAATGTTTTTGATATATTTTACTTTACATATCTTTCGCTGGCCAAAATGATTTTGTATATTTGAATATGTATGTGTGAATTTGGAATTAACAGATAAATATTGGTATGCAACATTCATTTGGAATTAAGTTAAATCTTACAGTTATGCCTGGTCACTTCCTGCACTGAAAGAAATATATGCCTAAATACATGGTCAAATGTTTCACCTGGATGGACACGAAGTTCAGGAATCTGGACATAAACCCAAGTCTCCATTAAAAATATCTACTTTTAATAGACGCCAGTCAGAAGACCTAATGATGAGTATATTTCTGGAATTTGAAGTCAGGTTTTATTCTAATAAAACAGTAATGACCCTCCCCAAAATGCTTGTCATAGTGAATGAAAACTTATCCCTATTTTAATCGTGAACCTCCCTAACTATTTCTGTTGTCTTTTATGACCCTCCCGAGAAAGGGTCATACTATCTGGTGACCCTGCCCTGATATATAACCCCGTAATAGGAAGATTTCGATTGGTGGTGTACACCGTGAGTGAAAATCTGGGTAAGAATTGGTCTTCAGCGACTCATGCTTGTCGTAAGAGGCGACTAACAGGATCGGTTTTTCATGTTTGCTGACTTGGTTGACACATGTCATTGTATCCCAATTGTGTAGATTGATGCTCATGCTGTTGATCACTGGTTTTTCTTGAGCAGACTCAATTATTTACAGACCACCGCCATATTGCTGGAGTATTGCTGCTTTAAACAACTACCAAACCTACCTTATGGTGATAGAAACATAACCAGGGGTAAAGGCATGAAAAAACAGATGTAAAAACATTACCAAACGGAGGTAAAAACAGAGAGGTTTATTCTCTCTGTGTGAGGCCATATCTTGATACAATGAAGTGCATGTGGTTGGTTATTGTTTAAAATAAGTTATGAATTTCTTTTTGTTGCATTCCAAAGCTGTATGTTTTTAAGTTTCTTTTCTGTCAAGAAGAAGAAGAAAATAGAATGAATAATGTACATATTTTTTTCAAGCTCTGGCTCTGTTGTATTGATCTGTAGCCGGAAAAAATATAAAGTATCGCCTGGCTGTCTGGCATCGGAAGTACCCACTTCGAATCCTCATCTTCAAAGTTATCTCTTTGTAAAACTTTAAGTCCATTTCATCTGGACATATGTCACTATCTTAACTCAATAGCCATGACAGGACCGTAACCATGGCGCCTGATGGTTCCGATGAATATGATCATGGTTTCCTTGCAGTCAAGGAAGATGGCCTGCACTGCATCACGTAGATAAAGATGTAGATAACATTGATTTTCTATAGACTTGTGTACCAGCTTGAGTTTCTTACACTTCCATAGTGAAATGGTTGGCCGAGACCTCTATCAGTCATGGTGCCGTGTCATGCCTAACTATATCCTTTTATCATGGATTTCTACTGTAAATGGTCTGGATGTCATATTGTCACATCTTGTCTGGAAGATATCTCTTGCTGTAATGAACTTAATGGAGGGGAGTACTACACCGGCATGACTAGAGCCTGTTTATACATGCTAAACCAGTGTTAGGATAACAGAATGTGATGGTTGTAATCTGAAGGGTAATGAGAGGTTGACCTTATGGTTGAATCATCATAAGTAAGGTACAGTACTCATGTCAAATTGGTTCTTCTTTTAACCTTCTTGACAAACATGGATCTGGTGTTTCAATATGAACAGAGGTTGATTCTGTGAGAATGACTTAATGATTTATCGTTCCCCGCCACAAATCAGAATGCGGGACTACGTATTCAGCAGCGTCCGTCTGTACGTACGTCCTGATTCTTGTTAACGCGATATCTCATGATCTGTTGTACCCAGTGTCTTCACATTTTTGTAAATATTTCTAAAGCAGTTTAGACCTGGCTCCCTTCCCACAGTTCCTCATAGTCAGTTCTGCCTTTGTGACAGTTCGGCAAGTTGTAAAGAAGTGTCAGTTCATTTAATTCCAATGTGTTATTTATCCGTTTTCTGGAATAAGATATGTGGAATGG